ACTAGCTCTTATGATGGTTCACTGCATTTTGTCAGTCATCACACAATTGTATACGGAACTTGAAGCACAGAGGAAGTAGCTGAAGCCGAGATGGTGTACTGTCTTTGGAGAAGGGGAAAAAAGATGCCGGGCTACGATGATGGGATTTGTGATTCCAATCTCTTGATGACTATTAGCTTTTCCAAATACGAAGATGTGCATGCGGGTTTGCTCATCCCGATCACTTACCTTGTGTGCTCTCTGCACCGCCGATCAGAGTTGATTTGATCTGCTCGTGGTAGCTATTTGGTTGGTGTCCAGTTTGCAATGACTGTGACCGAACTTGTTTGGGTTGCTCCCTCTTCAAAATACATATTCCTCGTAAGCTGTATACAGTCTCGAATATCTTTCAGACACATCTCCGCCTCTTACCGCACAGTTTATAGCATCAAATCGGTTTTCTACAATTCCCAGAATAAAAAATCCATATGAGCCAGCCAAATAGATCATAAGTGCATTGTTTTACCGAAGGCTTTCGCACTGGTTGTGTTTTGCGTGGCTTCGGATAACACCCACACACACAGCATTGCTTTGCGCTCGCACGTTGTTCAAGCGTCATAACTCGACTTTGTTTCACATATGCTCTTTTCCGTCGTCCGCAGTGTGGTCATTCTTTTCAACCGCTGTCGATGCACCTGTTCCAACAGGTCACTGTTTTGCCTGGTCTTTTAGCGAGTTCTATGGTCCAAAAGTGATTGGTTAAAAAAGCATTCTCTAGCCGGTATCCTACCCATAAGATCTCCTTTTATTGATATGTGGGACTGTATTGGGTTTCCTATTTAAATTCATCACTGTTATCCATTGACTGAATATGTACGTTTTTCACTGTGCATCATCATTCCTCCGAACTGACATCAACTGAACGAACATCTATTCTGTCATTGACGACGCATTTGACTGGCTTGGTAATCACTTCACATATTGCAGGATCGAACTCTCAAACCGGCACACGTCGTTTGTCCTCCCCTTTCGAGGATCGGTATCTGCAGGACGCCGTGAACAGTGCATTCCATTGGTTATACTATTGGATCGTCCTGAAACCGTTAGAGTCTGTGTACAGTTTTCACGTCGGATTTGGTCTCGTTTTGGGTATGCTACGTGCGTTGGGCGTGGAACCGAAATCCTCAATCCCGGTGGCTNCGAGTTGGAAGCGCTGTTCGTCGGATCCCCGGAGTCGTTTGCAGCTGTGTGTCGCTCTCTGCTTAACCTGTCTTGGTATGTCGTACCCAAAAGTGTGATTTTTAGCGATTCTAAAAACCTCACTATTCGCAACGTATTTACTTATTTATGATGATTGTCATTTATTTATCCCTGTTTTAAGTTCCGTCAATGTCTCCGTGTATTCTCATCGGGATTTCGAAGTACACTCGAATGGTTTGAAGTATACGAATATCAAAGGAATGACTGATCAGTCCTTATGTGGTCCACAGCCACAGTAGTGTTGCGTTTCGTTTCGTTTTTGTTTTCATCAATCGAATTTTAAGGTATGATGATGACAAATAGCAAAAATTTGAACGACTTTACCGTTCATCTGATTGCTCTGTCAAACTTGTTATATTTATGTTAGCCAAGTTTGACGCTAATGTTGGTAGTTTGAAGTATTGGGTTCCCTTTATCCATTTCATCAATCTAGAAAGAAGGTAAATGTCGCGAGATGTTAACATCTCGTTTGATTTTCTCCATCGCTGATTTAAAACAAAGAGGCACACATAAAGAACATGGGGTTGTTCAACTATGGTGAATGAACGTTTAAACGCATGCAAAGGTCACTAAACATGGAAGGGGCAGGTCAACTCAACAGGGTACCTGGATTGATTGTATCCGAACTCTGACTCCACCCGTCTACTCGTGGAATTGATTTGGACATGATTGGCAAACCGGTTCTGTCTCTCTCTCACACACACTGTGTACCAGTTCACCTGCAGTTGCGGTAACGCATAAATGGACAGAACAAACCGCCAGCTCTCGCAACGGATGGCCGAACATATTCCCAAGTGGTTGGTGAAATCGATGACGCATCCGATAAATGATGGCCAAGTGATTACAAGAAATCCATGGTCATCTGTTGCAAAACATATGATGTCAACAAGACACACAGTTGACCCTGATTCCCCTTTCAAACCACTACTACATGATCGCAATGCTAAACGTTTGGCGATTAGTGAAACGCTGCTTATGGGATTGCATCACCCGACCTTGTGCACACAAAAGTTTTGATACAATCAATCCACTTACTGTGTGAAGTTCACCTTCTACCTCCATGTTTAGTGAGCTTTGTATGCTTGTACACGTTTGTTCACCATAATTGAATAACCCCATGTGTGCCTCTTTGTTTCAAGTCATCGATTTAGAAGATTAAACGAAGTGTCAACAACTCGAGACATTTGTCTTCTTTTTATATTGATCTAGTATATATATATATATATATATATGCTTTTTTATATTTCGCAACCGCTAGGCACTGTTTTCAGCTGATACTTTTCTCCCTCAAAATCCTCGTATTTTCGACGGTTATCGTTTTGGGAATACTCTTTTTTTCTGTTCCGACCACTTGCTTTCCATTCCACTAACGGTCGCCTTGTTCCAACATTCACAAAACCGCCACTTCCTCTGAACGTCTGCGTACTGTTGTCACTTTCCAGTATCGGTCACTCAGCCTGATGTTATCCGCATTCACGACTCCGTGAATCCGATGTTGACCATTCACATTTTAGCTTACAGTACTTTAGGAGTATTGCCCTCGGAGAATTCGTCATTGATTTTACTCGAACATCATTCGCCTTCACACCAATCCTCACGTCGTCCAGGCTGTCAAAGACTTATCGCACCCACATCATTACGCACAAGTAGCTGTGAGTTGAAATAGAAATTAAAGGGGTTTTTTGTCTCGTCGGTCTACTAGCTGATCTGAAATAACTGATTGGAAGGGAAAGCTTCGATGTGGACTTAATAACGTTTTTTCTTGTATTCTGAGTTGCTGTCTGGTCTTCAGCTGACTGATTGCCACCGAAACAGATGTCTGGGCAAACTTCTCTCGATGACTTTAGCCAAATCCACTGTTAGCTGATTGGCACAGTAATCAGACTGGAATTCCATGAGAAACTTCTATACATGCACCACTGATAAGCCTTAGCAAAAATAAAATTGGAAAACTGCACCGCTTCCTGGGTGCATGATTAACTGAATATAAGCTGGCGCGATACGGATGCCCATAATGTCTGTTGGACACATCTGTTTACCAAATCGCTGATGAATTGGCCTGACACGTCGCTCTCAACCATCAAATATCCTGAAAATACCCCTCCATTTGTTATGCTTCTATCTAGAGGTACGCCCTTCTTCGGAAAACCAGATTTTGCGGTAGCATATGCGCTCAAAAGCGGGTCGTATATCACAGTTCCATGTTCTCAATGATGAAACCTCCCTGATTTTCATGGGAAACCAAACTCCCGGTGCATTTTTTGTCGGAGGTGATATCACTTAATATACTGAATGACTACTGCGTTGCTGTATACTCGGACACAGCCGTTGCGTGTAGTCATGTCCACTTGTGGAAGAATTTAATTTTACAATAGCTATCACCATCGACCCATCTCCTCTTGTCTTGGATCGTTTTCCAGTTGCCATCGAACCTTTCTTTGTTCCATCTTTGCAATCACTTCCACTTGGATTCGTGCTTGATTTGTTACGCATCTCTGATCACTCATTTTTTTCTTCCCCTGTCTCCATATTTCGCAACCAGGTTGTCCTCTTCTAGTCTCGCACTCACATGGCAAGTAGCCCCGGAGGAATTGATCCCGAATCCCAAGATATTCACAGAATTGCTGAATCTGCAGTCAGTTTGTGAGTGTCCGCTACGATGATCTCACCGATCGAGTGGCAGAGAATTCCACCGGCAAAATCAAAACATATGTACACACACACACTGAAGAATCTCACTTTTTCACGTTAATCACTTTGTCCTATGAAAAGAACTGAAGATGAATCAGAAAAAATAGGCAGATTCCAGCAAACGCTAGGAATTTGCATTCTCATCGCACTGTTGTTGTTGTTGTTTCTGCTACTCCTGCTGCTCATTTAATCGAAGGAGCGATTATCTTGCTCCTGGCTCGTACATATTGGCCGTTGAATCGGTATCTCCAGAACTCCAAACTGGTCATATTCTGAAAGGCCTCAGCCGAAAAAAAAAATTGCAAATCAATATTATTATTAATCATCAACTCACTTAAATTCAGTTATATCAAACAAGCATACAATCATACTGTCCCCATCTGGTCCGTTCAACCGCTGACTACAACACAGACACGTCAGTGGAATTTTCTGGGGGTAATCGAATGAGCCTAGCTAGTACAGTTAACCGATTGCTAAAAAACAATAATGTTTTCCTAGAACAGCCGAACAGCTGTAATCAGAACAGTTCGTTTTGTAATTGAATACTGTGATTAGCATATAAAAGTGCCAAACGCACGTACAAAATCTGGCCAACCCAATAGCCTGTAAGATCAAATGGTGCTAAGTGGTTCGTCATTCTCGCCTACAGCCACACAACGTCGGATCCCAGTTCGCCCGGGCTTGGAGCAGTTAGACTACCGTGATTAATTGACATTTGAACTAAGCTTTTGACACGAAATGAATAGACCTGGGATGTTTGAAATACGACGTTTGGCGTAGCTCGGACTAGATACAATGAACAAGTCCGTGCAATCACCCTTCTATTTGCGTCGATATCGCAATAGTGAGAAGATATTCAATAGTTGATTTTCTAAGGGAATCTTCGATACATGACGTCACTGTTTGCGCTCCCATGTGTGCGTGCGCTAAAGCCGGGTTAATTTTGTCTTAAAAGAAACAGTAGTATCATGTGATGGACGTGAGCAGTCGCTAACATCATGTTGGGTGTCAGCCCACACAAGCCATACCGATTGGGGTGATCGGTTTCAGTCAGCATTTAATGAAAACAAGCACAACGAATAAAATGACTGGGATGGCGGGGTAGAAACTAAGTGTAGATTAAATCCTGCTTAATCGAAGCCGTCACACGTGGACTGTTGAAGCGGTATCGCTTAACGCTCGTCTGTTCCGAATAAACCGGTTTCCCCATTGATAAACTGAGGGTGATTTTTAGTGGAGTTTGATTACTCCTCCGGCCAGGAGCGCTATGTCTTCCGTTGTACAAATATGCCTCCGAAGATGGTGCACGAAGGGAACAGTCGGGCAGCAAAACGGATTACGACATTACAGATCAATAACTGGTCTCCGTGCCCAGGAATGTTTGTGGATGAGAATCGTTGCAGGAGTGGGTTCATCCTAGATCTTGATTGATTTGGTGAAATTCCACTGAGATCGTGTTTCCCCTTGATTGCCATTTATTTTGGAACAAATGCGATTAACTTGATTCTGAGGGGGCCCTTACTAGACGAGTTTTTACGATAAAGTACCAACTGCTTATAACTGTATGAGTAATGGGGAATTTAATTTCAATTCTTCGTGTATAGAACAAGTGAAGCGTCTGCACTCTACATTCTATATATATGTAAGCATGAGCAAAGTGGTAACGTGATTACCGGTCGCTAGAATAATCGAAACCTTGGCCTAGAGCATCAGTGTAGAATTAACCGAGCGTCCTCCTGTGCGTAGCAATCCATCCGTTGGTACAGGCCCTAGCCCTCAAAAAGAACTCCAGTGAATCACAACCTTATCCCGTCACCCAATTTCAATCAATGATCACAATCCGATTGGTACTTGTTGCGGCAGCAGCTGAGGAAATAAAGGTAATCACTTGGGGCAGGTGGGTGTTCATTCGATAATGCATCTGAGAGATTTAGTCTCCGTATACGTCAACCAAATCCCACTTGAATGACACGTAGCCGAGGACAATACGAATACAAAAACGAAACATGGCAGACGTGGACGATGTATGCCCTCTCCCGTAAATAATTTATGCAATTTTACATCACTACTCATTAGTAGTATATAAAAAGACTGAAACCGCCTAAAGAAAAACGTAATATTACTAAAAAATATGACATGATGATAGCAATAATGTAAATATAAAATGTATAAAAGTATTACCTAAAAAAGAATGACAAAAATTTAAAAATTACGTGGTCCAGGAAAGTAGAAATATCATCTGGAAATGTTTCTATGAAAAATGGAACAATAACCCGCATTGAAACTCATCAATATGGTCCCAAATCATATCACCGACGAAACCGTTAACATTCTTTAGCCTTTTCTTGATTCGGCTCCAAAATGCTTCAACATTGTTTGCACACTGGTGGTAGCATCCATAAATCTGAGGGAATGATTTACAGTCGAATGCACATAACGAAGTAAACTCAGGGAGCGATAGGCTGCCCACTCGTCAATGTTACTTGTCGTTCCAGGATGCACCCATTGTTGTATAATAGGAATAAGAGTGCTTACAGAACGATTTTCAATCCGTTGATAATAATCTTTCTTTAAATTCCTGTCATACATGATAAACATCCGAATTGTGGAATGTGATCTCTCTCCGAATTTGTTCTTTACCACTACTGTCTCATCCACCTCAACAACTGCATTAGGTTCTCCTAGTTGAGTGTTCATAGAACACATCACAGAAAAGCATATATCTCTGCAGTAACTGTACCACTGAACGGTACTTTTCCGGCTAACGTTGGCCATGTTTATTGCACGAGATACCGGCTCCTCCATAACGAATTAAACTATGATTTCCATTATTGTATCAAGAAGTGAAAGTGTCCCTGAGAGAATGGAGTTATGTTTCCTGCACTTGCAGCAACGTAAAAACAATTTTTTTCCTTTGGCAGTCAAGTCAGATTTCTAGGACGAAAACAGGCTTTCGTCTAACGTGCGTCCAGATTCATACACCAGTAGGATTTGGGACTTCCTCTGGTGCTACGACGTGAATATGTTTTTGGGGGTTTACACCAGTAGGATTTGGAACTTCCTCTGGTGCTACGACGTGAATATTTTTTTCGTGGGTTGTCATGATTCGTTAATTTCCCTAGATTCGGACAGCTGCCCCAGCGAGCAACATTACCAGGGGTTTACTTCAGGTGATACTGTTTAGAGTTAAGTCAAAAGGTTTAGAAAGGGAGGAAAGGTAAGAATATGAAACTAAAAGTACCATTGTGGGGTCGCACTTTCGCACTCATATTAGAGACCGGCAGTTGTGGCACATTCAGCACTGGCCAGCAAAGGTGCATTGTGTCATTTTTTTGTGCGATGTTTTTTTCTTGTATGCCTTCGTGTGCTGCAATGGTGAGTGGTTTGCTTTTTTTGTTGCGATGTTTGTTTCTTGTATGCCTTCGTGTGCTGTAACGGTAAGTGGTTTGCTTAGATATAGAGTCGCACTTTTGCACTCATATTAGATACCGGCAGTTGTGGCACATTCAGCACTGGCCAGCAAAGGGAGCATCGTGTCACTTTTTTGTGGTCAGCAAAGGGAGCATCGTGTCACTTTCTATGTGCGATGTTTGTTTCTTGTATGCCTTCGTCACGGTGAGTGGTTTGCTTAGAAATGTTCGGGTGCATGCTGTATGCTATACAATGTATGAGCGCGTGGTGGGCTTTTCGTGCGCATTTTCGGGTGCATGTTGTATGCTATACAATGTATGAGAGCGTGGTGGGCTTTTCGTGCG